ATATTTTTAGCTCCTACTTCTTTGGCGAGGCAAATTCCTGCAAGCAGGGCTTCGTACTCGGCTTCGTTGTTCGAGGCAGGAAATCCAAGCTTGAATGATTGCTCAAAGATTTCTCCTGTCGGTGATTTTAAGCAGATACCGATGATTGATCCTTGCTTTGAAGACGCGCCGTCTACATATAAGTGCCAGCGTTCTTCTGCGGGTGTTTCGTCATTTAGCAGATCAGGCGGTATTGTGATCATGAAATCTGCTAAGACTTGAGATTTAGCGCTCGTGCGAGCGCGGTACTTGATGTTATACTTGGATAATTCTATTGTCCATTTAGCCATTCGACCGGATTGACTTGGACTGTGCAAAATACTCTGAAGTGGTTAACTGGTGAAGACGACAATAGTGTGAGACTGGAAGTAAGGTTGTAGTTTCTGTGCCGATATGATAACTGCATAGGCGAGTTTTTCCAGAGCCGGGTAACGAGTTTTGGCTTCATCCAGAGTTTTACTGATATAGAAGATCGGTTTTTGTTCGCCTCGATCTTCTCTGACAAGGACGCCACTTACCGCCGCTGTCGAGACTGCGATGTAAAGGTACAGGGTTTTGCCATCCTCTGGTTTTGCTAATATCGGCGGGGTGGTTAGATACTGCTTCAATTGTGCGAACGCCTCTCCGCACTTGTCGTCCCAGTCAAAGCGTTTATTACTTCGAAGTAATTAATAAAAGGGGAGACATTTATCAGTTGAACGTGAGATGAATCTGTTTAGCGCAGCAATTCACCTGGTTAATCATTATACTTCGCACGTATTTTTGGGTGACAGGAGATCCAGTATCGCCGAGATTTGTTTTGGGTTTGCTTATATTCCTCCTTGGGTGACGACGTAACCTAGGAATTCTTCTGAAGTCACTCTGAATGTGGCTTTGGCTGGATTTAATTTCATTCTAAATTTCTCGAGGATTTTGAAACAATCCCTGAGGTTGCTAACGTGATCTTCAGCGACTACGGATTTTACTAACATATCATCGATATAAACATTTTGTTGACTAGCCGCTGATATGTGGCTCCTGCGTTTTTTAGTCTGAAGGGCATGACTTTGTAACAATATGTCCCGCGATCGGTGATGAAAGCCGTCTTCTCTCTATCATCAGGATGCATAAAGATCTGATTGTACCCGGAAAAAGCATCCATAAAGGAAAGCATTTGATTTCCAGCTATTGACTCGACCAGTCGGTCGATGTGTGGGAGTGGAAAGCAGTCCTTTGGGAAAGATTTATTGAGATCGGTGAAATCCACGCAGACTCTCCACTTGCCGTTCTTCTTTTTAACAAAAACGGGATTGGCTAGCCAATCGGGATATTGAACCTCGGTAATTGACCCAGCTCCAAGTAGTTTTTTCCACTTCGTCGGTTACTGCTTATGCCTTTTTGGGGCCGAGATTCCTTCATTTTTGTTTAATTGGTTTGAACATAGGATCTAGGTTTAGTTTATGCGATGTGATTTTGGTGTTGATTCCCTTCATGTCCTTCATATGCCAAGCGAATAAGTGCATGTTGTCCCATAAAATTTTGACGAGCTTTGTCTTTATGTCTTCCATGAGATCGCCGCCAATGCTAACGATTCTTTCCGGGTGTTGCTCGTCAATGTTTACCTGTATAACCCGCTTGGGTTTTGGTCTTTTGTGGAAGGGAATACGTGGAGTCCTCGTTTACCATGCATGTAGTCGCCGTTCTGATTTTCCTTTCGCTGAGGAGGCACATTCGTGCTGTTGACTGATCGCCTTGCAGTGTGAACATGCCGGTAAATGTCGGGAACTTGATGCATTGATGGTATGTTGAGACAACGGCCTTCATGATATAGATCCACGGGGTTCCAAGGATGACGTTATAAATGGTGGGGCAGTCGTTGACTGCGAATTTTGCCCTTCTCGTTATGCCACCGACGTAGGTGAGTAGGTGTATTGTGCCGATACTGTAGGAGGTGTCGCTTGTGAATCATGTTAGTGGTTTTGCCGTTGTCGTTATCTCGCTTTCGTCGACGTTCATTCTTGCCAATCTATTTTTGAAGATAATGTTGACGGTGCTCCCGCTGTTAACCAAAGCATTGGCGACCGAGCTTTTGTGAATTTGTAAAGTTTTGACCAGTGGGTTGACATGGGGTGTGTGCGAACTGTGTAGATCCTCCGCTGTGAAATCCACTGGCGCAGCGTTTTTTGCACTGATCGGATTGCGCTGTGCTTCCACTGCTTTTTCTTCGTAATGCCGGATTTCCTTAAGCAAACTTGGGTCATCGAATACCCCGATCATGTAGGATTCGTCGAACGCTGTGCGTTCTCCCGTGGGTGGTAGGATTGCGATGGTAGGATTGCCGTGCTCGTCGAGAGCAGATGTATTAGTATGTGCGGTGGCGTCCTCGTTGTTGAGTGCGAGGTCGCTGTTATCGATTGGAAGGCTCATCGCTTCGGCTCTGTAGTTGCTAGTTTTAAGAATTTTATTCTCCTAGTCCCCACAGACGATGCCAACTGTTGAACCAGAAAATCACCACTAAGGATTTGATTAACAGTTGTGGGTTTTGGAAAATAAGATCTTTATTAATAGCTGTAAAGCGAAGCGATTACAAGAGATGGCTTAACCGAGATGTTATGCCGAGATGAAAAGAAAGTATTTGCGAGGTCAGTTAGAAAGCGTTGGAGTTCCTGGTTTTAGCTCTGCTGCTCTCTAGATTGTATGAGTTATCCTCTTGAGCTTCGAGGTCTTCTTATTTATAGGGATAGGAGGTCGGTTGCTTCGAACTCCTTTTCCTTTTTCCCTTTGGTGGATATTTCTATATTTGCGATATGGAAATATCCCTTATTCTCCAAAGAATATGAAAATTCCCCTTTATCCTCTAAGTCGATCCGAGCTAGGTCAGCGCGGTTCTCCTAGTCTTGATGGGCTTAGGGTATTGCTAGAGAAGGCCTTTTTGGAAATATGCTCATTTACCCTCTAACACAATCTCTTCCCAAATTCTAAACCCATAACCCTAAATTTTTTTGAATAAAAACATAAGAGCTAAACACGAGCTGATCTTGTTTTCATCTGAGCTCACCTGGTAAGCCTATCATTTTTGTTTTGCACGGGTCTGATATTTGAAGCCTATATTCTTAAAACTTATTTACCACTAGGCTAATCTATTTAGCATTCCAATCAACTAGTAATTTGGTCCGTTTGAAGCCAATTTGCTCTGCTTTTTTGTTTCCAATACAGCTCCTCATCACGGTAAGCGGAACAGAGCATCCATTTGAGATTTAGCACATCCTCAGCTGACATTATATCGTCAAGTTGAGCCATCTCTAGTTGTTCTTTGATCGTCTCGATCCTTTTCGCCGAATTTGTTGGGTTATTCTTCCTCCACTTGGCAATGGCCTTCCTACATACTCCAATTTTCGTAAAAGGGCATCTTGTCCCGGGGGCTTCGAAGACTCCCATCTCTCTACAACAGCGTCGTGGAAACCATCCTTATCGAGCCATCTCTTATCGAATCGGAAATTATGTTGGATTCGGGTCGCTCGAGATTGTATCCTTGTGAGCACATGTCTGTGATCCGAACCCCATAACTTCAAATTCTCCACATTTATGTGGGAAGAAAAGCATGCCATTCCTCATTTCCTATCGCTTTATCCAGCCGGCATTGGACTCGTCCAATACGTCTATATCTAAGCCACGATAGGGGATTCCCTTTGTATGGAAACTCGATCATTCCACAGGCATCCATCATATGTTTAAAGGCTAAGAAGGAGGATTCAGCTCTTCTCCTGCCCCCTCTCTTTTCGTGGTTGCCAGTTATCTCATTAAAGTCACCGCTCATAATGCTGAAGACTAAGGGATATCAGTTTCTCCCAAACAGCCCCACGACATTCAGAAACTTGATCTCCGTATATGAAAGTCATGTAAATCTTGTGCCCCTCGATCGTAGCCTCTATGTCAATCAACCGATCGTTGGAAAATAAAATACGAACAAAAAAACAATCCATATAGTACAAAGCTAAACCTTCGCTTCGCCCTACTGGCTCGACGGTAAAAAGTCAAAAGAAGTTTTAAAATCTTGTATAACAGAAAATGAGTTTTTTGTTTCATATAGAAAAAGAAAACAGGGACGGAAATATCGGTGCAGTTCCTTTAGATGTTGTTTGGTTAGATAAGCTCTTGCACCTTGAAAATTCCATGAGATTGTATTCATATCTTCTTACTAGGTAGTTTATGGGACACCACCGAGCCTGAAACAGCAGAGCTACTTTTAGGAAGAGCAGAAGGAAACACCTCCATACAAGTGACTTGTTTAAGAATGGTACCTAACGAACGTGCGCTCAGGTTACTCTGTTTCTTTGGGGAAGCTTTACCGTGAATGGTCTTAAGCTTCTTTGATGCTTGAGCTCCAGCAAGCTCTTGTTTCTTTGGGGAATTTTTCCGCGCCGTGGATTTGGAGACCCCCTTTGGCGCTTTTTCCCCTGTACCTTTGCGATGGTATGTCTTTGTCGTCTCCACAGCCGGAGGACCAGTGGCATTCTCCACTGTGTTTCTGGTACGAAGGTGGTCTGTATTTCGTTCATTCCATAGTCCTCCTTATCGCCTTCCAAGGAGAGCTGTGATATAACATCAATCATCTCGGCATTTTCTTCAAGATCGTCAATAAGCAAGTCATCGTTTTCAATCATCTCCTCATCCATTTCCATCTCCGCTAGCTCCCCTATTTTTTGGCTTAGTCTATGCTCAAATTCCACGTCCGCTTTTTCCGTTTCATCATTTCTCTCTTCTGGGGATTTATTGTCTGCCCCGCCTATTACTCTGTCTTCCTCCCGCGGGGGTTCTGCATTTTTTGTCCTTGGTTCATAGCATTGTCCTCAATATTAAAGTCTTAATAGCCTGTTATTCTCACATCATCTCCAGCAAAGTCTCTGTGGGCCTCCCATACTCCTCTGTTTCCCCTCCTATTCTCGTATGCATGCTGTTTTTTGTAGAGGACATATTTTCCATCACCGGTGCTTTGCCTTCAGTTTACATTCCCTTTCCTCTTCCGTCTCTCTGTGCTGGATCTCTGGACGCCTATGCCTTGATAATGTCGGATTGCTCTGTTGCTCTGGGACATCCGAGATAGTTCTCTGAGAGTCCGAAGGGGAGATGTGCTCACCCTGGTATCGGTTCCAAAGTCTGAGTTCCTTTCTCTCTCTGTTTTGCTCTATATCCTTTTCTCCACTTCCCTCTCCATTTCTCGTAGGTCTCCATTCTATTTTAGGTTTAGATAGAGTGCTGTAGCGACTGTTATTCTGCTCATTGTAACCTTTGGAGTAGGGGTGAAATCTCTCCCGATATCGGGGAATGCAATCATTAATATGTGGGTCAATTCTCGACCACACCTCTTTGCTGCGGTCCTCTCTTTTTCCCTGGAGGTCCTCTCTCAGGTCTCTGTTTCCACTGTAAGGAGGTCTAGCTTCTCTGGATATATTATCTCTTTCTTGGTTCGACGTAGCTTTGCGAGATTTGATTGGCCTCCGAGAGGAACTCCCGCCCGCATCAGGTCCAGTTTTCACCAGGAACATCTCTCTTGCAGTGAGTTCTTCTTGCTCCTTTTGTTCAATTCTTGCTTTCCGATTTCTTTCCCGTTGCTCCTCTGTCAGCTCTGGACAGGTGCCTTCTTCATGAGAAATCTTTTTGCAAGTGTAGCACCAACGGTGTAAGTCTTCATATCTCAAAGTAACTTTGATAATATCACCATTTTTGAATTTTGCTCTTCTTTCGAACTGTAACGGTTTATCACCATTGATGAATACTTGGACTCTTCCTCCTCTTTCATCTAGCGTTTTAACATCACCCAAAGCAGCACCAATCGAATGGAAGACAGGGTCATTTTTATAATGAATTGGGAGTCCCGACACTTTGATCCAGAAGCGCATGGTATTAGGGAAATCTTCCTCCACCGTTGGTATCCATCGTTCCAATGAAAAACTCCATCAGTTAAAAAGGCAAGGTCTCTGGTTAAGAACTTTGATCAGGTCTTCTTCAGAGTCGAAATCAAACTGGACTTTTCCATTTTCTAAGTTGGTTCCTTTGACTCTTCCTTCTACGTTCCAGTTTCTAGCACTCGGCATCAGTTTCAGAAGAGCATTGATACTTCTGCCTTCCAAGTGAAACATACGCGCCACTAAGGTATGTCTATATTGTTCCACCAGATCGGAGTTGTCAAAGTCTGGTATCTCAATAATATCGTCATCTTCCTTTTCAAGCCGGCGTCTGGTTTTGGAGATCCCACTCCTCCTCGGTATTTCAGTTAGCGAGTTCATGGATTTTTTTGTACTTGATTAACACCACACAGGGACCGCCCTATATAAGAGGAAAGGGGAATATTTGCAAAGCACTATAACACTTCGTCGTAGATCTGACCGATGTAGATCGGATCTGCAACACCGATAAAACTAAACCACAAAAGGCTCCACTAGCAGAGAATGCGTAGCACACACACTAGAGGTCAAAATGTAGGAATTGTTCTTCTGATCCGGTATTTTTCCAGTGTAAAGCGAGTAAAGAAATCTTACCTTGTGAGAGGGCACACCCTACGTCAAGAGATTTAACGGAAGGGATGATCAGACCTCAGTTGGACCAACTAGAGGGATGAGATCTGGGAATCACCGCAAAAATCGTCGAGTGCCCTAGTCGCTCTCAGTTTTTTCTTGTTTGTTGGCCTAAGTAGGATAGCCCAAAAATGATTTAAATGGACCAACAGTAATATGTAAAAGATTTAGAACTATTCACTAATTACCAATTATTTTTTGATAAAATAAAAAGTAATAAAAAACAAATTAAAGGCTAACAAGTGGAAGAATGATAGTCTTCAGAAAATTATATGTATGGCTAACAACAATGGTCTCTAGATATATCTCGAGGGACTCGATGGGGAACTGCTTGACGGGGAGGACTACTGTCTCCAAAGAGTATTGGGAGCAGTCTGACAGACATGACAATTGTCTTTAATAACCCAGTGAGGAGCAGTCTAACGAGGAAGACTACTATATATAGTGCTGGGAGCAGCTTGACGGGGGAGAAATGATGTTTCTGGAGTTCAAAGGTGGCAGGTTGATAGAATGAATGTATGGAATATGTAAGTAGTGTTTCTGTTAAAACAAATATCCACAAAAAAAAGAAAAACAAATATTTATACAAAAATATTTTAGAGTTTGCGTTTCTACAAAGTGAATCCCACATTGTATTTATCTTATAATTTTGTTTGTGCAACTATTTACCTTATATATATTTAAGTAGTAAAAAAACGATTATCTGTTACACGCTTTCTAAAAGCAGGTGGCTTAAAAAATATTAGTCAGCATGTTTCCCTATTGTTCAAGAACCATTGTTTTTTAAAAAATTCACTCCAAAAAGTTTATTTTAAAAGAAATCATACAATACGGGGGAAATTTGAACTCTGGAGATGGGCTAGTCTGCAATGAACAGAGGGAATAAAGAGACTTCGGTTAACAGGAAAGGGGTAGCCTTTCCGATTACGCTTCGACGCTCTAGTTAGAAGGGACACGGAATTAAACGAAGCGTATTAGTTTTACCGGATGGACTGATTATGGGTACGTTCTACTGGCTCAGAACGATCCCGATAGAACTTTTAAGATAGATGTTTATTGCCGAAAACGAAGCTAGAAGATGAAGTTATCGTTCTAGATGTCTCCTCCTCTCTGCTGTTGAGAGGACTGTGTTTTTATAAGGAATACCTGGTTCCGGGTCGCTCCCGGGTTCGGAATTCCAGGCTTCCCGGGTCGGGTACTAACTTCCATCTTATTTTATCATTATCGCCATTCCCGGACTCCTCCATGCATGTAGTTAGAGAGATTGGATTGCCGACATGCCCCGCCTTCTTCTAGCCACCATAATTTCGGCCTTCTTTGGTAGGTGTGGTGCATTTAATGCGCCTCGGGTTCCCGCGGCATCCGGATCCCATGCATTAGGCCCTCGTGGGTCGTGGATGTATTTTGCGTCCTAACAGTTATCCCCGACTTATGTAGCTTGCTAGGGAGGTGCGGAAGTCTACCCTACGTGCAAATTGAAATACAGAAGGTCGTTAGATTCCTACCTCGTTTGTCTCCCAGCTACGGGCTGGGCCCTCATGTACTGACAATGATTTTCACAAAAGTGGGCCTCGAAAAGGCCACTCCCTAATGGCACTCCCCGGAGGGTGTGTCCCTGGAGGCCGATCTCGGAGAGACCATTGTCCCTGGATGGATTTTTCTGGAGGGCATGCCCCTGGAGGCCGGTCTCGGAAAGATTATTATCCCCGGAAGGTGTGCCCCTGGAGGCCGGTCTCGGAAATACCATTGTCCCCAGAGGGAGTTTCCGGAGGGAGTTTCCCGGAGAGCGTGCCCCTGGAGGCCGGTCTCGGAAAGACCGTTATCCCCGAAGGGCATGCCCCTGGAGGTCGGTCTCGGAAAGACCGTTATCCCAGGAGGGAGTTCTCCAGAGAGGGTGTCCTTGGAGGCCGGTCTCGGAAAGACCGTTGTTCCCGAAGGGAGTTCTCTGGAGGACGTGCCCCTGGAGACCGATCTCGGAAAGACCGTTATCCCCGGAGGGAGTTCTCCGGAGGGCGTACCCAAGAATTTGCGATCGGGATCCATAATTTTTGGGGTTTGGGCCCCACCGCAGCTGGTGCGCTTGAGTAGGTCCCAGTTTCGATTGATGCGTTGTTCTATGAGTGGTTCATTTCTTGGGATAGTGGGTAGACTTTTGTGTGTCAGTACTCAGATTTCTGCGAATATTTCCCAAAGGCAAGAGATTCTTTTTCCCTTATACTTCCGCTGCACATATCGTATCGATCCCCACAAACATCTTCTGATTGCTAGGGTTACGTGTGCGCTTTTGGTGTTTTTCTTCCTCGCCGCCGTTTATTCGCTTTCACGAGTCGCTTCACCTGCTACCTCGATCCCGTGACTTTCTCTCTGTTTCTCTTGGTAAGATTCTTCTTTTTCTTCTTCTTCTTCTTCTTTTGTGATTCTTTTCCTAGCCTATGCCTCGGATGCCTAAGCGAGAGGAACCGATTCTTCCGGATATGGCGCCCGTCGTTCTGACTCTTCCGCCGACCTCCAAGAAGAGTTGCTTCTCGAGTACGACGTTGATGACCCCGCCCCTTCGTGCTCTGTGTGTCCTCGGGATGAGGATTCTTCCGATACTTCGGAAGGCGATGTCTCCACCAGAGATCCGGCGGACTTTCGTGCTCTTTGGAATCGGTCCGCCCACATAGTACCATGTCGGTATTTTTTACTGTTCGGCTTCCGCTTCCCAAGCGCCTCCGAGTTGCATCGCGCTTCACGCTCATTATTGGTCGAACGGACTCTGATGTCAAATTCTGGAAGTCTTGATCGACTTCTGTCGGTTGACGGGGATTTGCTCTAGTTAGTTGGTTCCTATCACGTGGGGGGTTCTGAGTTCGTTCCAGGTCTGAGTGATCTATCGGGGATTCCTATTGCTGCCGAGGACATCAGGGCCTTTTTTCACCTTAGGAAGAGGGGTGCGTATGACCCTTTGCAGCATACTCTCGCTCGAAACGTCGAGAAGCCGACGATCCTTTCTACCAACATGGGCAACGACCGGTGGTGGACCCATAATTTCTGCTTATGGCGGGTGGATCCCGCGGGTTCCATGAGCACCGTGTGAAGGGATCCCGGTAGGTGATTCCTTTATTTTTTCCTGTTATGTTCCTCAATTGACTAACTGTTTAATCTTGCTGCAGATTCCACAGGGCCGAGAGACGTTACAGAATTGGTGAGGCGCCTTACTGAGATTTCGCTCGGGCTTCGGAGTCAGTCGTTCTTGCTGTCTGAGCGCTGCCTTGCTAAGAGTTCCCTCTGCGCGCTGGTAGGCGTCGCTTACACCTTCAAAGGTATTGTATCTCTGTCCTAAGTTGCTTGTGGTTGCCTTTCTACCAGACATGATCTTTACTCGGTTGTCCCTCTGGCCAGTTTGGCCGACATGGGGGGGGGGTGGCTCTTCCGACGAGTCCGACAGATCTCCGCTTCGCTTGAAGCGCGTAACTCTGAAGCGTCCTGCAGATGAGAGTCCCCTCGAGGAGATGATTCCCCGTTGCCTTCGCATTCTTCCTGGGGCGCATACGGCTTCTTCTGTTCTGATGCACCTTCCTCGTTCCTTCCGGGGGGAACGGGGCAAGGGAAAAAATTCCCAAAGGGGACTCCACTCAGAAGGTGAGCTCTTCTTCCTCTTCCGCATCCGGGTGAGGTGGGTCTGCCACGGGGAAGAAGGCCTCCGCTCTCGAGGAGGAGGACGGGGTGTTAGAGTGCATCGCCATGCAGGAGGTGTACGAGAAGGCCATCCGGGAGGGCCTTTCCATGCCAACCTCCAGGCTAGAGAAGGAGAGCCTGAACAGTATCATGAATCGGGCCTGTCACCACCGATTCCAGGTATTCAGATTTTCCTCGTGACTGTCATCTTTGCGTTCACACGGTGTTAGCTGATGATCCTTTATTTTTGCCCTTTTGTAGGCCGATATCATTAGTGCGCATCTAGCCGCCTCTGCTTCCACCTTCGAGGCTGAAATATTCCTGCTTCACGAAATGGTGGCCTTGAAATCCGTGGAGACTGAGGGTTGCACGAAGAGAAGAAGGAGCACCACCGCATGGCCATTCGAGTTTGGATGCAACTTGAGCGGGCTTAGGGGGATGTTAGCGCGGCGGCAGACCGAGGGTCTGCGTGACCAGGTGGGGGAATTCCGGTCCCTGATCGCCAAAGAGAAGTCTGTGGCTTCCAAGGCGGAGGAGGCCATGGAGTTGTTGCGTTCGGAGCTCGACGCTCTTACTTCCGCTCACGAACTGAGGTCGGAGATGTTGACGAGTGGCGGTGCCCTCACGATCCTTCAGGGGAGCCGAGACCATGACTCGGGATGCTGGAATGAAGGGGGGATTCGGGGAGTGCACCAGGCGGCGATGGAGGATGCACAAGTAGCAGGGATGTCGGTTTTTTGGTGGATGATGTGATCGCATCCCTCACTCAGTTCCTCCGTCAAATTCCTCTGCCCAGCGCCGCCCTTGTCGTTATCACACCTGTGGTCAGCCATTTGAAGGTGGATGCTTTGACGGCTCCTGCCGGGGCCGTTCCTCCCCAGGCTCCCAAGGTGAGCCCTCCTTCCGGGGACATTGTACGGGGGTCCCCCTCGGGGTGATTTTCCTTCTTTTTTTTATTGTTTGTTTTTAACTGGTCTGTGTTTATCGGCTTTGTGTGTGTTAAGACTTTTGGCGCTTCATCTTTTTTTTTAAAAGCAGTAATATTATATATTAACGGGTTTCGTTGAATGCATACATGCTTATTAGAAATGGTACATTCTAAGATTTGTAGCGTTCCAGGAATGTTTGAGGCACTTGCCATTCTTTTCCCTGAGGTGGTATGCTCCCGACCCTAGCGCTTTGACGATCTCGTACTGTCCTTCCCAGTTAGGGCTGAGCTTGCTGTAGTGGTGCTTAGTGTTGTGGAACACTCTGCGGAGGACCCACTGGACTTCTCGGAAGGTTTGGGATTAGACCTTTTTGTTGTAGCTTTGTGTTACTTCGTCCTGGTAGCATGCGTTCCTTATTACCGCAGAGTCCCTCGTGTCGTCTAGGAGGTCCAGGTTTGCGCACAGCGTTTCGCGATTCTCTTCCTCGGTTGGCGTGAATTTGGTGCGGCATGATTGTCTTGTGGTCTCTACCGGGATGACTGCCTCTAACCCGTACGCCAGGGAGAAGAGAGTCTCTCATGTGGCTACCTTCTCGGTAGTGCGGTAGGCCCACAAGACTCCATGCGATTTCTCGTCTCATGCTCCTCGAGCCCGGGTGATTCGTTTTTTGAGGGACTTCAGAATGGTTTTGTTGGAAGACTCTGCCTGTCCGTTGGATTGTGGATGCCTGGGTGTAGCAAAACTTAGTCTAGTTCCATACCTGGCGCATAATTCTTGGAAGCGTGCCCCTGAGAAC